ACAGTGGAATCAGTAGAAACAGGAACAGTGGAATCAGTATAAACAGTAGAATCAGTAGAAACAGTGGAACAGTAGAAACAGTAGAAATGGGAACAGCAGAAACTGAAACAGTAGAAACAGTAGAAGCAGTGGAAACAGTAGGAACAGTGGAATCAGTAGAATCAGTAGAAACAGGAACAGTAGAAACAGTGAAATCAGTAGGAACAGTGGAATCAGTAGAAGCAGTTGAAACAGTAGAAACAGTAGGAACAGTGGAATCAGTAGAAACAGTGGAATCAGTAGAAACAGTGGAATCAGTAGAAACAGTGGAATCAGTAGAAACAGTGGAATTAGTAGAAACAGGAACAGTAGAAACAGTGGAATTAGTAGAAACAGTGGAATCAGTAGGAACAGTAGAAACAGTGGAATCAGTAGAAACAGTGGAATCGGTGGAACAGTAGGAACAGTGGAATCGGTGGAACAGTAGAAACAGTAGAAACTGGAACAGTAGAAACAGAAACAGCAGAAACTGAAACAGTAGAAACAGTAGAATCTTCTCTCTGATTTAAACCTCTCGTTCATCTTCCCGGCCGTTGCCAAGGTGACTCACCGTCACCCTCTGTTACCTAGCAACAACTCAGCCAATGGGACACCCCACCGCCCCCCCCCCCCCCCCTCCCCCCCCCGCACCCACCCCCCCCCCCCCCCGCGCCCCCCCCCCCCCCCCCCCCCCCTCCTCCTGCTGCCTGCAGAGTCTGAACCAGCTGATGATTGACAGCTCTGTCCTCCAATCACACACCAGCATCTCCCCTCCCTGCTCCTGATTGGACTATTCCATCATTCCCTGAGCTGTCGTACTGCTCATGAATGATCTCATCTCTTTACTGAGTTTATCTTAATGAATGTTTGTTTTACATTATTTATTTATAGCACTTCACCTATTTTAACAGAACAAGTTAGCCAAGTAAAAAACCAGAACAAGACTAAAACATGATCAAAGTGAGAGTTTAACGTTCTTTATTTGATATTGCCTCAGGGCGCTGCGCTGCGTTCAGGAGCTGCTCGTTCAGGGTAAAGTCACCTCGCTGGACATCAGCTCAGACCATCGGCAGCTGCTCAGCTGTTGCCGTGACGACTGCCTCCAGCTGGTCGATTTGAGGGGGCGGAGCAACGAGCGCGTGTGCTTCAGGTGTCAACAAACATCCCGCTTTAATAAAGTTGTGTGTGTGTGTGTGTGTGTGTGTGTGTGTGTGTGTGTGTGTGTGTGTGTGTGTGTGTGTGTGTGAGAGAGAGAGAGTGATGAAGCAGATTCACTGACTCTGTTTGTTTGTGTTTCAGAGCCGACGGCTTTAAATGTGGCAGCGACAGCACCAAAGCAGTGATCAGGTGAGTCCACACTTGATCACATCAGGTCATCAGGTCACTATGTGATCAGGCGAGTCCGCTAGCTAGCTGAATCGATCCTCATTAATAAATTCACAGTTTAGTCTTAATATCAGTAGACGATGAATAAACAGCACGGAAATATTTTTGCTACAGAAATATTCATATCGGCAGGGATGTAGATTTTCGACAGTTGCAACACTTTGTCAATAAAAGGTTTGAATAGATTCCTTCACTCAGAGGACCAACTATGTTTAGCGCTTTTATTGTGAAAGGTCAGAACAGAAGGCTGCTTTTAAGTTTTTAACATTTTTTTAAGCAGTTGTGTGATTATTAAAGTACATGTTTTAAATCTTGCTCTCTCTCTCTTCAGTCCAGATGGTTGTTTCCTGGCTGCCGGATCAGCTGACGGAGCCGTTTACATCTGGAAGGTTTCCACCGGCAACCTGGAGACCCGCCTCCCCGACAGGCACAGGTCAGCTGATCAATACACCAACCAATCAGTCACAAACTAATTAGTACGACTTTAGAAACCTCAGGATGCTTCATGACTCTCTGTGTTATTAAAGACAGACAAACAGATTTAAGAAATGTTTTATTCACTTCTTGTGTTTAGATCTAAAGGTAAGAGGCTCCAGGATGCTTCTCTGTGGGACTCCTGTTATTAAAAAAAACAAGATTCACTACATTTACTTTTACTATTGAATGGAGTCAAAGTACATTTTGCTTAAAGTTTTGTAAACTTTAATACTTTTATTTTGCCTCTTTAGCATCTTTTAAACTTTACACAACATGCATGGTTTATTTTTTTTCCTGCACAAACTCTCATTCTGTCAATCTAACAAGTAAAAAGCTGACAGGAAGCAAAAACTACTCGAAAAAATTAAAATATAATCACTGAAAATATTTGAATTGAACAAATATTTCACTATTTATACACACAAATGTTGCATTAAGCAATACTGCTAAAGCTTTTTTTCATTGAAAGTCAACGTATGCCTGTAAATGAGTGAAAATGTTAATCATTCAAAGTTTTACATTTTTAATTTTTTTTATGTTTCATGGTCCACAGACGTAAAGGACATTTAGTGTGAAAGCCCCACATCAGCATTTTCAACTGGTTGTCTCAGTTTGTCTCCTCATGGTGTATAAAGTTATTTGACTATAGACATGCTCAGTGTGTTCGATAATCAACAGACACTCCAGAGTAAATCATATTATTCATATGTGGTTTAATAGAAACAACATGGGCCCCAGGATACTTCCCTGAGGGACTCCACCTGATTTACCTTTTAGCAATTGTTGTACTGTTCCTTTAATAGATTGTGACTAAGTGGACATTTATTTAAACGTCTCTCTGTCTTTAGCTCATCCATCAGCGCTGTGGCCTGGTCTATGTCCGGTGAATATGTCGTCAGTGTGGATAAAAGTAGGCGGGCCGTCCTCTGGAGTGACATCTGAGCCGATCTGTGAAGAGAGCCCCGGGAAACACACCTCGCCTTAAAAAACTAACTGATCTGAGAGCTGTTAAAGGGAACAAATGTGTTTTAATTTAAATTTGTGTGTGTTTTTTTAACCTATTTGTTGATTGGACAAAAGGGATGTGAGAGTGATTTATAACAAAACTGGGAAGCTTTAATACAACAACACAGGAAATATTTTAACTGTAAAACCAAACAAAGGGAACCGGAGACGGAGAACATTTAACCGTTGTGCATTACTTAACGAAACTGTTCTGATGTCCTTTTCCCACGTAACAAAACTGCCATAAAATTGTATGTTGATATTATTTCCATTTCCACTGAGTAATGTTTTTTTTAAAAACATCAGTCCTGATCATAACTACGAAATATATATTAATTTTCAGGATTTTAACTCCATGCCATTTTGTATACATAATGAACCTCTTGTTGATTTTTATTGAAAATTTTTTTTTTAAAAATACAACTATATATTTTGTTTATACTAAATACTGAGCAACAACATTGATTATTGATGCATCATTGCATCAAACACTGTAGTGCTCCATAATACAGTAGTGATGCCTCTAGTGGACACAAAGAGAATAACATGTATTATCTCTATAATACAGTTGTGATGCCTCTAGTGGACACCAGGAGAATAACATGTATTATCTCTATAATACAGCAGCGATGCCCCTAGTGGACACCAGGAGAATAGAAGGTGGATTTACATTTAAAAGGCGACTGTGATCCTCTGTTTGTGCTCTTGGCTTTGAAGACTGAAGTCAGCAGCTTCAAAGAGAAAAGGTGATGACTGGAGGCTCTGATGGAGTCTGAACACATCGACATGAAACACACTGATTTATATCTGATGTCATCGTTCACGTTAAACTGATTGATTTCGTGAAAATGTTTCTGATCAAACTGCTGGTTCTGATACAGGAAGCTGCCTCAAGACCTGAACCAACAACTGACTGATTATTAACACACATTTACAGTTCATCTACAGGCCAACACTGTTTTTATAGATACATGTTCAATTTAAAGTCAGTAAAGAAACACCGTAGAGTACTGTAAAGAAACGTAGTAGAGTACAGTAAAAAAGCTTCATCAGGGACGTTAGTTTTATCAAACGTTAGCTGTATCACGTAAAATATTACAATTTATTAACATTAAAAAAAAATTATGATAAAGACTAACGATAATGAGAAAATAAGCAATTTGACTTCACTGTCAGCTGATGTTCCTCTAACATATTATTATTCTTTGATGTTCTAATGTTTACACAACCGATGAACAGTCTGTAGTTCTAATAATCGGCTGTCTGACCTTCATCCCGTCATCTTTATTAATTAATTATTTGTTGAATTCTCATCTGCGATGTTTAAAAAATGCGACGTGACAGCGATCATGATGATGATGAAGCTTCAGGCGGTTTCACACTGAGGTCATTAATTAGGAAACAGGAAGCAGCTGCTGCCTTTGACCCGACCGACCTTTGTTTGATCTGGAATGAGGAAATATTGATTAGTAATTACTGCAGAAATACAAATATACGACCGTAACTATGGCTGTTAGTAGCAACGCTGAGTTCACTCCTTTTATTTTCACAGTCTCTTTACGGGTGTTTTTCAAAATAAAAGTTAAAAAAAATTTGGACCCTCACTACAGCGTGTAGTGGGTTAGGGTTAGTAGGGTTGTAGTGAGCTCCTAGAGACTGAACCTTTCTGCAGAGTTTTTATTTATTTATTGTTAAGTAAACATTAATATTTTGGACAGCTGAGTGTAAATGTTGCTGTGTTAATGTAGTAATTAATAAATTAATACATTTAAAATAAGCAAATTAATAGGTTTTGAAGCATTTATTCTTTTATGTGTTTTTTTATTTCTTATCGACGCAACACAAATTAATTCCACACCAACTTCCTGTTTTTGGTTTTTAGGATTCTATTCAATTTCCCATTTTACGTCTTTTAACATTTCAGGGTGTTGGATTCGAGTGTTTGTGTTGTGGATCCATTGATGAAATAGACTCTTAATTATACACAGACGATTTGCCACATTTCAGCCTCCGTAAAGAAGGTCTGTTTGTCTCTGTGACGCAGTTTAACTCGTGTTTATGTGAAGTTCATGTTTATATTTCTTCCGCTGAAGGTCAGAATCCAGCTGTCAGCAACACCTTAATGTCACCGACTGAATTAAAACGTGTCCTCGGGCTGTTTTCATGTTTTAGCACATTTCTACTGGTAATGAGTGTCAATGGAGAGGGCGGGGGAGGGGGAGAGAGAGACAGAGAGAGGAGGAGGAGGAGGAGGAGGAGGAGGAGGACGAGCAGCAGAGTGGTGGATTCAGTCGTTTGTTCAGTTGGACCTCAGATGGAGGTTTTTCCTCCCGCTGAGGAGAATCTGACGGCATGATGACGACTTCCTGAGAGAGAGAGAGAGCGAGAGAGCGAGGGAGCGAGCACTCAGTTTCCACGGTGACAGCATCCCTCCTCCTCCTCCATCATCTCTCCGTCTGTCGGCTCGTCAGCGTCGTCAGGATGGGAGATAAAGGAACAAGGTGAGATTTAATGTGTTTGTGTTTGTGGTTCCTTCACGTGGTTCTGCTGCTGTTGGTTCCTCAAAGTGTGTGTGTGTGTGTGTGTGTGTGTGTGTGTGTGTGTGTGTGTGTGTTCTGGTACAACATTACATAACGTTCTGTCAGAACCTCCAGCGGTGCGACGTCTGTGTGAGCAGCACACTGATGCTCTTCTCTTTTTTAAAGGTTCCTTTGTTTGGCCTTTTATTTTGATAGTGCAGACAGACAGGAAACAGACAGACAGGAGAGGGTAATCAATTACTGTTATTACTCTGTGAGAAAGTAATCACATTACTTATTATTAATCAGTGAAAGTAACAAGTTGCTTCACTTTGGTTCATCACATCATCTTCTGTTTTTATTATTTGTTTTTTTATTATGAGTTCTGTACAGAAGTTTAAAGATGCCCTGAAAATACAACTTACGATCCTGATCTTGATCCTGGTCTTTGCTGAACTCTGAGTTTAAAGAAACACAAAGGTGGTAAAACTCTGTTTTTCACGCTTTCTGAAATGAAATGTGAACGTTGTTAGCTGTTATTTTTCTTTCTGTTATTAGAAGCGATTATCTGTGATTCTGAGATGTTTAACTGGTTCACACTCAGAATCGTGTGTCTGCGACTTCATTTGACTCATCAGGACTCTGATGAGTTTCAGTGGCAGATTTTACATTTCGTGCTGTAAACAATCAGCTAGCGGTGAAATTTAACTTCTACTTTTCCTAAATTAACTTTTATTTCAAACTTACGGCCGATTCCCAAAGAACAGAATCACTTTTCATAGAACAAGTCAGAATAATTTCTATGTGATGATGATGTCGTGGTGTTCAGGTGCGATTGGCAAACTGATACCTTTGCTTCTCATCACGTATATTTATTCTAATTCGTCATATCTTTAATATATGCTTAAAGTACGGTTTATGTATAAAGGTGATTCCAATACCAAAGGATAATAAATTAACCTTCATGAGTACAAACAATTAGTATACTTCATATTTTGAGCAAATTATTAGAGAAAATTGTTTTCAAACAAATCAAAGATTATTTTATTCTGAATAAACTGATGAATATAATCCCAGCATGCATACAGACAGAGTCCCTTTACTGCCCTAGTCAGATAGTAAGGACAATAAGACAATAGTCGGCACAGTCTCACTTGACTTTTGATGTAATAGACGACAATATTATGGTTACTAAATTTAAGAAATATGGATTTAGCATTATGACTCTCTTGGATGGTCAGTTATGTTTGTGAGAGATATCAAACTGAAGATACGTTAGCTGTGTGGGTTCCACAAGGAAGCTGTTTAGGCCCCTTGAGGTGCGGTCTCACGAAACGTGGCGTGAAAAATTCATTGCATCAGTTTACTCACGGGGAACCATTTGTGGTCATTCGCTTCATTCGCGCTAGACGTGCCGGAGATGGGGCGTGGCTTATCACTATGGAAGCCGTTATCAACTTAAGCAATTTATTTCAGTCATCAACTATGGAAGAAATAACCTCTATTTCTGCTTAGTACTTGTGTAAGTTCCAGATATCCTGGAAACGAAACGCCTTCTTGTCTGCTTCATAACATCATCCACAGGAGCTCCGTGGATTTTATCGAGCTGTATTCACTGTGTCTAGCTGGTTTACTACAGCTGTATCAACACTAAATAAACACATTTTGCTGTGATTTAACAGCAATAAACGAATAAAAAAGATGCCGAAATAACGACATAATGATGCCGATTTGTAAAAAGTCAAAGTTAATTCATGTTTAGTTAGTTCTCTCCTCAAGACGACAAGCAAATAACTTTTAAAATACTTGTTTTCTGAATGTAGCTCGGATCGATCGGTGCTAGGCTATGCTAACATTGTAGCAGCTCCATCAACACTAAACATAACATCTCGGCGTAAATACAGCAGCGTCTTTTTCATTATTTGTACCGTCTGGTTTACACACACACATTTATACACATAGTTTGGTCCGGTCTCTGCTAATATGAGGTATCGTAGAGCTCTGGCTGAACACAGAGAGCTACAGTATTTGTTTCCTGATTCAGCGTCAGTGATGACAGGAGGAGCATTTCAACGCTGATAGGCTATCGCGCCTATCAACTGCCGCGAATGAGGCGAATTTGCGCCATTCGTGTCATTCGCGCCGCACCATCACGAATTTGCGTCACTCCAGTCTCATCGCGTCTGTGCATAGACTTTGTATGTAATATACTCAGGCAAATGATTCGCGCCGCGTTTGGTGTGAACGCAGCTTAACTGTTCTCTATTTTCACAAATGATCTCACTTTGTCAATTGAGAATGCCAACATGGTAATGTATGCAGATGACACAACACTGGTAAAGAAAACTTACAATTAATCTCAGTGGGAACAGTGCTGTTGGTCACCTTCTTTTGCCAGTGCATCAATGTTTGATGTCACTTTGGTTTTGGCAATTCTCAGAACAGATCTAATGTTTTTGTCAGTTAAAGACTGTGGTCTTTAGAGCAATTTGATTATTTAAAGGGATCATACAGATATTCTGACTTTGACATCTGACGTTGTCAGAGTTCTGGTCTGTCATGTCTTTCCTTGTCTCTCCCCCCTGTGTCATGGTGTGGGTACATCTCACTGGCGTCAGGAAACGTATCAGAATACCCTTATTTTATTGGCTAAACTGCATCACGTGACGTGATTTACAATGCATTGGTCGGTGTTTTTCCTGCACCGCTGAACAAGTGCCGTAAATGCTGGAAAGGAGCGTGAATAATTCCGCTGCATAAAGCAAAGGCCCGCGACCCACTGAAAACGGGTCCGCGACGAACCACCAGTTGAGAATCACTGGTCTACAGGATCATGACGAGCGGTGAACAGCTGTTTGTGTGGCGTGTCTTCCATCTCTTCCTGTTTCTTTCACCTACATTACCCTGGGTCCTAAGCCCCTCCCTGTATGGCTTCTTATCACCTCTTTGCACCAATGTACATTTATAACAAATACCACACATATTACACGGTAATCAGCGTTGCATATGTGTGAAACTCTATCGGTGCATCTCCGGTCTGTCTTTGTTCATCCTGCATCG